GAACTCACGACCTTGCGCTTGCCAGGCAGGCGCTTTTGCCGCTGAGCTAAATCCCCAGCCCCCTGGCTACTATTTCCCATAGAATCTGCAACAAATATCCTGTCAGATCACAAGACGTAACTTTATAAACCACTGTAGATAGTTTGGCTCCTTGAATTCTGGTTATAGAACTAGAAAGAGAAAAAAAAAAAAAAAACTGATGATGTCTCTTCAAATAGAAAATGAGCTTTGCCCATTCCTCTCCATGCTGTGGTAGGGATGCAAATGAGCTGGCCCTTTCACATTGTCTTACCCCAATGAATGCAGTACTAGGGACTGTACTCAGGCACAGTTATCTCTACCCTTCAGCCAGGTTTAACCCTTAAGTCCACTGTTCCTTCCCTGTTCTGCCCAGCCCAAATGCAGTTCCTCCTGCAATTCCTCTATACCTTCCTCTGTGCTTTCTACCAACTCCTAACTTCTGGTTACCATTGTCATTGCCTGTGATCCCTGCAAGTCTTCTAACTCATCTCCTTTTTCAGTGTCCTTAATCTACATCTTTCTACCAACTCTGGTCATTATGGTCTTTCAAAAGCTGTTCCTAGACCTTCCCTAAGTAAATGCATTCAAAAACTCCTCAAATTTTTAAGAACAATATTCAAGCCCATTTACAAGTTGATTATATTAATGTAAGACAGAGTTGAAAGTTAAATAGGTGAGTGTATTTAAAGGTTTAACCTCGCAACTGACACACAGAAAGCTCTTGTTAAGTAGTAGTTTTATTAGTGGTTATTCTTTTATTTTTCTCAAATGAATCAGTTTAAATTTAGAAGAGGCACAGAGTACAAATGGAGGTGGAGAATTCATTCCAATATTTCTGGATGGTAAACAATCTTTTGATTACCCCAGCCTTGTTTTTTAAAATTTTATCATTCTTCTTTCATTTACTTATATAGATTTTCTCATGCTCCTTAAAAATGTTTCTGAAGGTTCACTAATCGGAGTAATACACAGCTGCATGTGCTGTCCTCACATAGATATGCAATAAGCAGAATACAATTTTAAATTTCACCTCTAATATCCCCCTGATAATGCCCAAAAGTTTTAACTCTCACCTGTATCAGAAAGTCCATCCAACTAATATGCCTAGAAAAATCTAATGTGATATTTATTCTGTGTTAACGTTGAAGCTTTGGAGCCAATCAATGTTAACTCAGTTTCCCTTATACTTGTATATAGTGAAATTCACACACATTATTCTTATAACTTAATTCAATTTATTGAATAGGAGACTTTACTTAAGACAATGGCCTGGAATATTTATCTTTCCTTCCTCCTCCAGACTAGTAGTCTGCTCTAAGTTAATAGCACTAAAAGAAAAACTCTGTCCCAGCACCAATAGTTCAGAAAGCCTAAGGGGTAGAATACTTAGTAAAGGGGTACAAGGTGTGGAGGATACATTTGAAGCACTGTCAAGAATACAATTACTCATCCTGGGTCTAGGAGATGGAAATGAGGAGTGAAAGATAAGAAGAAAATGGAGGGAAGGCACAAATGATGTCACAAAATTCAGATAATATATTTGAAAGTGGTGGTTTATAGTTACTTTTCTTTCTTTTAAATAAATGACACAAAAATGAATGCCATCCAGTGCTAGATAAATACACTGCTTATCATTTTTCAACAGAAAATGGAATGTATCCTACTCTTTTCTGAAATTTAAACAATTCATGTTAATTTTGGTTCACTTAGGACATAATTTATCTTGATTTCAACAGGCAAAACCATTTGCTCACCAGTTCACTGTGTTCGGTGGTCACGTGCACAAGTGTTCTGCTAGACCTTGGAAAAGATAGAAGAGTAAGGTGACTGTGGCTCTCTTGGACCTTAGGCTCTTGCACAGCCTCTGGGATATGACCCAATGAAAAGCCTGGTTTTATCTCTGTTCCCCATTGGACTACTCATTTATGTTTCAAATTTCTGTGACATCATATTCTTTCTGAGGAGACACATGTTCCAATTCTTGTGCAGATTGGCATTCGCTCTGTGATAATTGAATACATGCACTGACACACACTCCCCAGCCTAGCAGTTACTCACCTGGTAAACTGTTTCTGGGAATTGTAGAGTTATGCTCATGCCCAAGGCACATCCACCTCTGTGGAAATTTGACTGCAAAAATAATAGATTATAAATTTGTATCAATACTTATCAAATTTCTCGAGATGTTTGTCAATGTTCTTTGCAAAACAATTCAAAACTTGCTGGTTATTTATCTGCAGGTCACTGTGTGGAACTACGCTATTTTACTGAACAGCCTGTCAGTGTCCTCCTTGCAGGGTAGTGTTATTTTTTAACAGGAATTCTCCTTTTGGTGTCAAATCTCTAGACACCACCCAGAATATTATGCCTAAAACAAGTATATAGAGCAGGAAAGGATATCTGTCTCAGTTCTCCTGTGTCTGAGAATACAGTAAGGACAGGAAAAGTCACATGAAATTCCTCCAGATTTTTCTGGTCCCAGTCACTGCAAAAAAACTCTTCTTTGGATCATGAAGAAGAAACTCTGGATTGGGGGTTCTTAATAAGGTACCAAATCTCTGTCTCAAAAGCTGAGTTTCTATCTAAAATGCAGGCATTATTCTCAAGTGATCAAAAGCAGAAGACATAATCCAAACAACAGAGTGCCTGGAGACCTCATTACCAAGGTAACTCACTACCTTTCCCTGCTGATGGCCCATAGTGAGGACAACACTTGGGAAAACAGAGTTGAGTTGACTAAGCTATTAGTAACATCTCTGGGGTGAAAAGCCTAACTTTCTGTCTTAGGGTGGCTCTTGGCCTTGCTAGTATCTATGTCATATTTTCTATGCATTTCTCCAGTGACAAGGAGTGGGAGTTTAATGCCTTATGGTATAACTCTTCTTATATGAGAGAGGAGAAGGAACAACTTCCAAGAGGGGTTTAATCAGGGATCCTTGTTGCCAGTCACACACAGAAACGACCTTGAGGTACTCTGACATGTGAAGCAAGTTTAATGTCTCAAAGTAGAATCATCAATTCTATTCCTAAATTCTACTTTATGAACTTTTATAAGATTAAGCTAGTATTTATTCTCTCTCTTCTGCTGAGAGAGAATACCCCTCATTCAGGTTGGTTCTTGATTCTAGCTCTGAAAGATCATCCTCCAAATACTGAACCCATTCACATTATCCATAGCCCAAATAGATTCTCACATGTGTCTATAGTCTCAAAATATGTAAAAGTTGCCACCCAACTGTCACAT